CTTGATTGGCTTCAGTAGCAGTTGAGTTCTGTTCTTCACCTGGCTGCACTTACCTCCCCTTGGCTGCACGCCCTGGGGATACACCCCCTGCCAGGGCCACTTCCTTAACCACAGAACCCTCCTTCTCAGAAGCTGGGCTTTATAAACCACACCAGGAGTGGTACATACCTATTGGAGAAGAAAAACCCATGAACACACAACAGTAAAGGGCTCAAACCACAGCTGCAATTCAGTTCAAGAGCAACAGGCTCTCCTTGCTGCAATGGGACTTACAATGCTGCTTTCAATGAAACACTCCCTCAGTCCTGCTCCTAAACTTCCAAGAGGGATAACGCTCAACAGAGCAGCTCCTTACGCACTTCCAAACAGGTGGGCCCAGGTCAGCTTTGGATGGAGTGGTATTTCCTGCTTCTTCACCTGGATAGAATCATGGAATGACTTGGGTTGGAAGGGACCTTAAAGCTCATCTCATTCCAACTCCCCTGCCATGTGCAGGGACACCTTCCACCAGCCCAGGTTGCTCCAAGCCCTATCCAACCTGGCCTTGGACACTTCCAAGTATGGGGCAGCCACAGCTTTTCTGGGCAACCTGTGCCAGGGCCTCACCAGCCTCACAGGGAAGAATTTCTTCCTGATATCTCATCTAAAACTGCTCTCTGTCAGTTTGAAGCCAGTCCACCCTGATGACATGTAATCCTCTCTATTACTAAAAGGAAATCATTAATTTACTTACCTTTAGGGCATATGGACAAGAAGGTCTACAGGAATATACAAGAGTGGACAAGGCATGATTCAGATCTTTCAAGAGTTGTGGTACCATTTCCTGGCCTGAGGTAAGCAAAGAGCTGAGCTTTGTCACCTCACTCACGTCACAAAGTGGGGTCTCTGTTACTACTGACAGCAACCTGAGCACAGCTGTTCTCCATGTCAAAATCTGAACTGTGTTTAGCTCTCAGTGCCTTATCCTGCTCACTGGCTTGTGTTGCTGAGTTGCTCTGTCTTTGCTCCAGAGTTATGACTCTGGAAATCCCCTCCACAGAGGACGGAGAGTCTGAAATTCTGCACTGTGGGTGCAACCAGTGACAAAACCCTGCAGGCCTGCACTCAAATCAGCTTCTCATGGATTTCGGTCTCTCTCTTGCCTCAGGAAAGACTGAGGGAAGGCCTGCTGACCTGAAAGTCTTTTTTCTAGAAAGAACATTAACTTGAAACATACTTGTATTAAAAAGCCACATTACAAGAAATTGTAGCCAATACTGGGATTGTCAGTGGAGTTCACAACAGGTGATGGCACTCTGGCATTGTCCACTGGACAAGCTGCAGGACTTGGATAAACAAAGGGATCTGAAGAGAGGGAGAGCTGGCACAGACAGTGCCAACTAGAGCTCATGGAACAGAGGAGCAGCTCAACTTTCAATTGCCCTGCCATACAGTCCATCAGTGAAGCATTCCCAGTGACCTCAGAGCTGGTCTCCTGTTAAAGCATTCCCAAGATAAGATCAGCAGTAATGCCACTGGAATTCGAGCTATAGGTTTGATGTGGGAAAATAGGGAAAACCTGATGTCTGTTTATGTAGGGCTCCTTCTCTTAGAGCAACTTGTTTTGTTTGGAAACAGGCATTTTCCCTTCTGCCTCAACCATGTCTGAGGCAGGGCTGGGCCGAGGAGAATAAAGATGATGACTGATATAACACCATGGATAAATGGGAGCTGTTAACCATTTTCCCTTCTGCAATACCAGATGATGTTGGTTAGCAACAACTTATCCTTTGAATCTCAGCCAGGAAAAATGAGGAGGCAGCTCATCTCTGTCACTGGTTTGATCTCCCACCGCATCCACTGTTGACACAATGGGAAGAAATGGGGAGAGGGGAATGTAGATGTTCTCTGTGTGTCAAACACACGCTGTAGCCCCGAGGCAGCAACTGGGAAACGACAGAGCAAAGAAAAATAATTTTTTTTCCTTGCTCTCAGCTTCTCGACCTGTGCAAGACAATAAATTGGACAAATTAATCCCCCGTGTGACACACTGAGCGACTGCAGTGATAAAAGGTGGCTCCTTCCTTTTCCATAACCAGAGCTGGCAAGCCTACAGGTCCCACATACGAGCTGGTGCCCTCCATGGGTTATTTACACGTTCTTTGCCTCAGATACACGTAGCATCAGATCTATGGGAGAAGAGTGGGAGGAAATAAAAGACAACAAAGAGTTGAAGGAACGGAGGAAGGAGGAAAATAAATGCATACATTTCTCTGTCTGTCTATTTTTTTCCTTTGGAAGGTGCCTCTACAGAATGATGGTCACTACTGCTTTCAGATGGGAGAGATCTAATTCATGGAAGGGTTTTTTTGCTACTGAGCTTAAAACCCAAGCAAAACGTTTTCTTCCCAAGTTGCAGCCTAATGACACTGGGGACAGCTAATGAGAAATGTGTTAAGGATTAAAGACAACACACTAGAATATAAGGTCACACAAACCCACTGGCCTATAGCAACAATTTCCCCAGCAATTAAACAAGATGAACTTCAAGGATATGCTGGAACAGTAAAATCCCCTGCTCTGCTCAAGGCCCAATGGTAAAATCCCTCCTTGTCTGAGTCAACATTCTGCCCTTGGAATGCTTGGGAGTTACTGAAGCCCAGTCAGCTTTCTGGCTTCCCTAGCTGATAATGTGTTCTCACCTGGGCAAATCGCTTCTCTCTGAGCATCTTTTCCTGTTTTGTTTGTAAGCTTACTGGGGCAATAATTGTTTCTCACTGCATTATACAACCCTGGTAACTGTTCTGGCTTCCAGAACCTACAGGAATAACTCGCTGTGGAAAGGGCTCTTGGTGACCAAAGTGGGGTGTTGTGCATGGGAAGCAAGATAGAACATATTTTAAAAAAAATCTGTCCTGCACGAGATGATATCCCTTATGTCTGCTGAAGAAATCAAATTAGAAATCTGTACTGCCCTTACTTGCAGCTAAAATTCAGGAAGGATGCCAGACTCCCAGGCAATGGGAAAAGAATTATTAAAGATGCCCTTCTGAGGGAAAGAAATAGAACTCATGAGTAACATGCTAAAATTCCACTGCAAGTGTCGTCGTCCCCCCCCCCCCCAGTGTCCTCTGCAGTATTTTGAATTCTGCAGTGCATCTCTGATGTAATCAGAGCTCCTGCAAGGAGTCCTGCTCTGCTCCGTGGTGCAGACAATTCAAAGTTGTGCCTGGATGAAAACAAGCATGCAAGGAAGATGCAGAACTCCCCCCTAGACTCTTCTATCAATTCCAGTACCTGGAACTCATCTCTGTTGCTTTTTACCATTTGTAAATTAAGTTTAAATAAAAACAAAAAAAGAGAAAAGTTTCAGATTTTGGTGCAGGTTGAATACGAATATAGTGATTTTTTTGAGAGAATTCCATAAGAAACTGCTTTACAGTTCAGTGATCCTTCCTCCTGTAGTCTTTCCTTAGTTAAGCAGGCAGTATTCCCAGCAGTGTTACATTCAGTTCTCCCCTGGTACAGGATTTCTGGGCTGTACCACCTGCAGGTACCTCCTGACATACTCCAAGCCACACTCATGCAGCTCTTTTCAGCCCAAGAACAGATCTCAAACTTCAGCTCTTGCAAAGTGCACTTCAGCCAAATCAAAGTAAAACTTAAAAAGGTCAATGTCTAATAGGAAACAAAATTCTCCAGAAAAGCAGATAAGCTGAAAAAACGTGCTGCTATCTCTGTGTTGCTCACCTTGAGCTGGACAGTTATGGCATTTTATGACAATTTACAAACTGAATTATGTCAAATATGTTACTCACTGTTTGGTTTTATGGAGCTGAACCTTATTCTACTGATAATAATCAGAAGTGAAATAACTTTGCAGATAAGTTATATCCCCAGGAGAATGTTCTGAAATACATTAGGAGTAATAACTGTATTTACTCTCCTGCTGTGAAACATATTTATGTCAACAAATTTTAGCAAGTCACATTCAAAACAATTCCTTAAACATAGTTTTTAAAAATAAAGGATTTTATAATTATTTATATAGGTAAATATTTTGCCACTGAAATGAAGATATGTAGTCATGGAAGAGTTATTTCATGCCTCTCCTGTCCTTCCCCCCCCTCCCCAAGTCTTTTCCAATGAAAAAAGTCTTCTAGAAAGACATTGCCTATCAAGAACAGTTCACTTTGATGTGTCAGTCGCCAACGAGCAGAAGTCAGTAAATAGATCAACATAAAAGACATCTCTTAATTATTTTAAAATTAAAGCTAGAAAGGACCTTCAGATTAGGCAAAGCAGAAGAAACTGGAAACACAAGCCTCCATCCTGCGCTGTGCAGACACAGGACCCGTGGAGCGGGAGAGCCGGGAAGGGGAAGCCCGAGCAGCACGAACGGAGCCCGATGGATGAGCCTGGAGCGCCGTCAGCCTCCTCCGCGGCGGGGCCGGGGCAGGGCAGGAACGAGCCGGGCGGTCCCGGGCAGCAGCCGCCCCGCTCCCGCTGCTGGCGGCGCAGCCAGCGCGGCTCCGGCAGGGAATGACGGCGCGGGCGGACGGTCCCTCTCTTCCATCCCTGCGGCGGGCGAGAACCTGTTGCTACAACCCGTGCAGGGACCCCCCACCCCTCCCGCCGCGCTCCCCGCTCCGGCGGCTCCCGGCGGACTCTCGGCGGGCTCCCGTCCCGCGTTATCTCCGTCCCGAGCATCCCCGTCCCGAGCATCCCTGTCCTGGGGAGCCCCGTCCAGCTCACCCGCGTCCCGCGCCCCCCGGCCGGGCCGTGCGATGCCCGCAGCCCCGCGGCCCCGCGCCGCTCCTGGGAGAAAAGTTCCCCGGGAACTTGCCTGCGAGTTGCCCGCTCGCCGGGCACGGGCAGCGAGCGCGGCCGCCCCGGGGCTGGGTCGGCACCGGCCGCGCTACCGCGCTGCGCCTCCGCTGCGCCGGGCGGGGCGGGCGGGGGCGGCGGCGGGGCCGGGAGCGGGAGCGGGAGCGGGAGCGGGAGCGGGGCGGGCGGCCCGGGCGGGCACCGGCGCAGCCCCAGCCCCCCGCATGGCGCCGAACGGCCGCGGCACCCGCAGCTCCCCACGGACCGGCCGGCGGGGCCGGGGGAGGAGGAGGAGGAGCTCCCGGCGCCGAGGAGGAGCCCCGGGCCGGGCCGGGCCGGGAGGAGCCCCCGCAGCCCCGGCCCCGCTCGGGCAGCCCCGGCTGCGCACAGGTGGCGTCCCGGGCTGGGCAGCCTCGGGAAAACTTCTGTGGCTTCGCCCGTTCCGGGGGAATTGTGATTGCTGGCTGGGGAAGGGGGATTGCAGGTGTCCGGTAAAGTATAAATCGTATCACGGCTCTCCTCCCGATCCACAGCAGTGGCTCCAGGAGAGCCAAACCTGTGCTTTATTCCTGAGGCACCCTTGCAGCGTCCAGCGGCAATTAACAACCTGATTCGTTGTCAGAGATCTGGGGATTATTCCGTATCTCTACTTTCTAATGAAATTTGTTTGTCGTCTGGGTGGAAGTTACTCTGTGTGGATTTAAGGCAGTGAATTAAATCTTGGTGCCAGGGTTAGGGAGTCACCGGCAGCTCAAGGTCTGTCACACACTAAAAAGTGCAAACTATTCCCATCCCGTTTGCTGTTGTCCCCCGCGGGTGTGGAGACCATGATACTCCTGAGCTCTGGTTTCTCTTCCCTGCCGAGGCACTGCTCCTGGATGGAATTCCCTGCAGTGATCTGCACCTCCGTGCAGAACGGTGACAGTCACCTCTAAGCTCAGTGGGGCAAGGGGTGTCTCTCCCTGTGAGCATTGTGCACTTCACCCGGAGCACTGCGGGGTCTCATTTCAGGCAAAGTCCTTTGTTGCCATGGCAATACAAAGGAAAAATCTATACTATGGTAATTTTAGAAAAATACCTCCTTTTTTTCTAAACTAAATTGGACTGTGGTTCAGAATCGTGTGGGCACACAGAAACAGTCGTGCTGATATTCCTGAGCTGTAGCTGTTGAACAGCAGTTGTGTAGAGGGCTGTCAGCGATGGGCTGTCAGCTTGGGCTGCTTCTCCCTGATATTGCATATGATTTGTACTTGGCTTTGGAAAGGTTTCTTAGCAGGCTCTCAGCCTTTATCTGCAGCAGAGAGGTGACCGGTTTTACTGATCACAGTGCCATGAACAAGAGTTTTGGCTTTTGTGCGACAGTCTGTAATAATCTCGTTGATGAAAGTCTGTGTTTAAAAGTCTTTGCTGTCAAAGGGGAAGGACATATTAAGTAGGATCTCCCAGGGAATAATCTGGGAACAGTTTTGGTTAGTTTTCTGTAGCAACTTGGGTGATAGAACGGAGAGCACTTTTACTACATTTGCAGTGATTCCAGCATGGAGTGCGAGGCTGAGATTTAAAATGACCCTGACACACTGCAGAGCCAGTCTGAACTCCACACACTGAAATTCCAGGAGAAAAAATTCTGTAGTATGCCACAAGGAAGGGATATCTCGTGTCAGATGAGGACTATTAGTTAGGCAAGAACACTGCAGAGGAGAGAGAACCTCGGGACTGGAGTGGCTCGCAGCCTGAGCGGTGCTGCAGAACAGCCGTGCTGCTCCGAGCTCTGTAGCAGAAGGATCAGCTGTAAGACATCAGAGGGCGTTATTTCTGTTCCATTTAGCACCAGCCAGGCTTGGCTGGAGCACTCTATCCAGTTTCAAGCATTACACTCACTCTTAAAGAAAGATGTAGGCAAACCAGATAGGAGAATAGCAACCGAAAGCGTAAGAGGCTTAGAAATGTAAGCTGTGAGGAAAGCTGGAATTTTTTATTTGATCTGGAAAGAAAACACAATATAAGGACATGGCAACTGTCTTCAAACATATAAACACATTTATAAAGATGACAGTAAACAGTTATTCTGTGACCACAAATGACGGGATAAAAAGCAATTTGCTAAAGTGCATTAGGGAGGTTACTTTAGATATCAGGGAAAAAACAAACAAACAAGACAAAACGATTATCCTGCTAGTAGCTGAAATCTCAGGAGGTTGTAAATCTGTTCAGTGAAGATTTAAAGAAAAGATTAGACAAGCAGCTCTCAGGACTGGCTGTTGCATGCCTGGGGCAGGGAAGACTCCCAGTCACCTTCACTTACCAGCCCACATTTCAGTGATTCCTGGCTGCCCATCAGGTTACACTGATCCTTCCAGGAAGAGGCATAAAAAGAGAACTCATTATCACCCCCTATGATTAATGCAGATCTTTTTAACTAAATCACCTCTGTGATCAGGATCTCGTTATCATCTGGAGACCAAGAGCACCTCATGGAGACACACAGAGAGCAGAACTATCCATGGCAAGTAAGCAGTTTTCAAATCCAGCTTTGAGCAATAATGACTGAAAATTGTTATTACTCGATGGTCAGTGTAAATATAAATGTCCTGCAATTTGCTTGGGACTCACTGTAGAATTCATCACCTCATTTGGACCCTTGCCTGGCAGATTCAGTTGAGGTCAAGGATTTCACAGACATGAGGAGTCAGGTGTGAGATCACTGGCTGTGGCCAATATTAAATCTGTCCTGGCAAATGGAGCTCTTCCCTCTTCAGGCATGTCTGCCTGCATCCTTCATGAGCACGGAATTCTTGTGGGAAGCAGAAGTGACACCTGCCCTTGAGGGTCCCAAGGAGTGCACTCTCAGTTTTCCTGCAGGGATAACCTGACTGCATGGTGGACTGGCCCAGGATTCCCAGAGTAAATTTACTGCTCTGTGCTCCTTGAGGAACTGGTACTGCCACAGAGAAAAATTTCAATCCCACTTTTATTACTTTTACAGCCTGCGGCTGCTTTTCCTTCTGTTCCTTTGATTGTTGATGTTGAAATCCTGTTCTATGGGTTTCTCTGGCTTTTGCAGGTAATTCCATCATCACTCTGCAGTCAGGAGCAGTGCTGCCAGCAAACAAGGTATTCCAACTTCACAGCACCTTTCACCTTGCACTTCCCAAACAAAACAGGAGGCTAAATTCCTCTCTTATAAACAGAACTTAAATATCCACATGGCTGAAAGGTGAGAATTGTCCAAAACCAAGCTATGACCAAGAATTATTCACAGAACTTATTCATCAGAAAATTTCACCTATTGAATACAATACCCAAATGCTATCTGCTTGAGAACTCTGTTTACAGAGACAGAAGCAAAATTCTTTGAAGAAATAATGGATGGCAAATTATTCACCTGGTCCTAGAAAACTTCATGCTTTTGCCTTTTAAGGATGCCATGTGAGGTATATGCAAAGTGTTAGGCTGGAAGTGGAAAGTACAGACACTGCTGCAAAGAGGTTCAGAAAGGTCTCAGAAAAACCACATGGCAAAGCCCAAGGTACCTTCTGCCAGCCAGAAGAAATTGGTTAAAAGCCTCAGAATTGCTGTTCCAAGTGTGTCTCAGAGCTCTTGGTGCTGCTGCCCTCAAGGACATGGACCAGGTCCTGGTGTGTTTGGGTCTGGTGCCTTTTTCCAAGGAATGCTAAAGATTTCCTCACCTGCCTTGCTTGAGGTAAGGTAATTTAATCACTTTATGCTTCCTTTGTTGCCACTTGAGACGCATTTGAGCAAATGTGGTTGCTCACCTTAAGGTATGAGAATAAATTGTATCTGTCTCCACTGGTGAATCAGAGCCCAATTCAGTGTAAAGGGAATCCCAAGGAATTCTGGCACTGCTGCTCACATCTGGTCAGCAGGATCCCACCTGGAATCACAGAAGGTCTGCAGCATGGAGGGGATTACATTTAGACATCTTTCTGTCACCTTTAATCATTAAACAAACCCTCAGACGTTTGTGTTTGGAGAAAAGCTTTCCTTTAGCTTCTTTCCTTGTACAGTTTTCTGGGAGTTTTGTGCCCGTGCATGGGCAGAACCAGGCTCTTCTCCTCTCCTGCCTCTGTTTGTCCTTGCTGCAAATCCCCTGGGGGAGCTCCTGCACGAGCTCCTGCACGTTGTGTCGTGTTAGTCGTGGCACTGAGGGAGCGAGGAGTAACACATCCCTCCTCCATCTGCAGCCCTGGAGATGTGCTGTTTATGTTTGCAAGGTGGCCGATGTGACTAAAATTAATTTACAATCTCCTGAGATTTTACTCCAGTACCTCGTGCTGCCAACCTCCCCCATATTCCCTCTGCAGATCCTTGGCTGGAGAGTGTGTGCTGGTACCTGTGAGCTGCTGGGAAATGTCTGAGTAGGATCCGTTGGTGGGCAGGGCACCAGAACCAACATAAACTCTTACTCTACAAAGAAACTGGGAAATGAACAGGGAATGAACAGAAAGAAGTCAGGAGCATGGCTGGGCAGAAAACTCTTTTTAATTTAAAAGAGTACAGAGGTGTGGATGTGCTCAAACAGCCTTGCAGGGGTTTGGTTTGACCTTTGCAGCTTTTTTTTGCTCAGCTTAACGCTGTATCTCAAGTGCCTGGCTGTGCAGCCCTCTGCTCCCATCCAGATTGCATCCAACCCTGGAAAATCCTGTAAGTGCATGAGGGAGGAGAGGAATCTCTGCATGCATACACTTTGCATGTTTTGTAAAATTCCTGCCTAATCCGAATGTGTGATTACCTCCCTAGCAAAGGCTGAAGAGGAGAATTACCTCCTGCAGGTGACTCTTGTGGCACTGGATTCCTTTGCAGCTGAGGTGTACAACTGTAGCTATGGCACAAAACAGAGAATCAGCTTCAAACTATCAACATTCCGAAATATTTGGTAAAATGCAGAACTTCAACTGTGTTTAAATAATTAATTTCTATCGTGTACCAACAAGACCAGTGATAGTGTTTACAGGAGAGGAAGGTTCTTGGGCTGAAATGAGTTTCAGGGAACTGCTGTATTGAAACTATCAGGGACAGTGGATTATTTATCATGGCTCTGGCAGACTTCCAAAAACACTGCACGTTTTTTTTTTCAGGTTACTGAACTGAAAGAACCTTGCAAGGATAAGAGAAATGTCTTCCCAAGCATGTTCTTCAGCAGCAGTATTGTTCAGCTTCATGAGTAAGAATGGGTAATGCTCCTAAATACTTCATTACTGCATCTGCCTCAGATTAGTCAAAGAAAATCATCATTCTTCTTCTGTGTTCAGGCACTGAAAACATGTGGGTGTATTCCTAGGGTGTACATGTGGGTCTGGGGTCATGGGTTTGCACCTGACTGATGCACACACGACTCCAAGCCCTCTGCAAGGAAACTGGAGAAATCCGGGCTCAGCCATTCCCTTTTCCTACTGCCTTTCAATCTGAACAGGAGTCTCTCAAATTAACAACCTTTTACTGTCAGCCCTTTTGAATTTATGGGCAGGAAAAAGAAATAGAGAGGTCAGATGGCCCTGGTTCAGAACAGAACCTGTGCCATGAAACACTTCAAGGGTGAGAGGGTCCTTAGTTCCAAACTAAATTTACCAGTTCCCTGGTGATAGATTGCTCAAACTGCCAAAATGTCACCAGAGGTGACCAGGCACACAGTTTTCAGGCATTTGTTTCTGTTCAAAAATATAGGTAAGAAGAGATGAACTTCCATTACATTTCTTTTTCTAGCTCAGTCAATTTTTAATACTCGTGATACATTCACTGGATGTGAAATAATTATCTTAGTCATAATACTTTTGATTCAAACAATAATATATTTTGTGTTGCAGCTTTTAAAATGATTTTGATAGTATAAAGGAAAAATCTATTAGGCAAAAGCCATCATGCATGACTCCTGTAATTGCTGTTACTAAAAGCTGGGGGCATACAGTAGAATTGAAAAGATTTACATTTCATTATTTCTGCAAATAAACACAATAAAGGTTTAATCCTGACGTTTTTCATCCAGAGCAACCTCATCCTTTCCAATTTTACCCAGTAAATTATAACCTGGAGAATTTGTATTGTTTAAGTGAGCAGGTAACTCACGTAATGGAGAATACACCCTTTCTATGAAAAAATTCCTCCTGATGTCCAACCTGAACCTCCTCTGAGGCTGTTTTCTCCCCTCCTGTCTCTGGCTGCAATGGCACCAGTAGGCAGTGGATGAGACACTGGGAGATGGTGCAGAGAGCTCCTCTGCAACACCAGTGAAATTCCTGTACAGTCTGGGCTTATTTTCACTCTGAGCTTTCTTGTGTCTGCAAAGCAGAACATTTTCAATAACAAAACCTGCACGTGTTCTCTGCTGGAAACCTTCCCTTTGGAAAGGGAATCAGCTGGAGAATAAGTGGTAAAACAGGCCCTGAGAGGCTCAGTGGGACGTGCAGATAATTCTGTGCGGAGCGCAGTCATTCCTATAATTGCAGTCCCAAATCCCGGGGGGAAGTCTCTGAGTGGGCGTTTGCACAGGAATTTCCTACCTCTGTTGCACGAGGTGGAACAGTGGAAACTCTGAGTACCCAAACCCTGCAGGTGCTGGTGTGTGGCAGGCAGTTGTGAGGACAAGATTCTTGCTGTTGGCTGTGCTGCTCATGGGCTGCTGTGCCCACATGGCTGTGCCTGGCAGATCCACCAGTGTCCTGCTGTCCCCATGTGATGGTGCCTGGCAGATCCACCAGTGTCCTGCTGTCCCCGTGTGATGGTGCCTGGCAGATCCACCAGTGTCCTGCTGTCCCCGTGTGATGGTGCCTGGCAGATCCACCAGTGTCCTGCTGTCCCCATGTGATGGTGCCTGGCAGATCCATCCAGTGTCCTGCTGTCCCCATGTGATGGTGCCTGGCAGATCCACCAGTGTCCTGCTGTCCCCATGTGATGGTGCCTGGCAGATCCATCCAGTGTCCTGCCTAGTGGGTCCATTGGTGTGTGAGCTTTGCTGGATTATGGGCTTGAAGTTGTGCAGTGCACTTTTGATTTAAAAGGCTTTATGAGTGGTTGAAGCTCTGTAGAGAGAAAACAAACAAACAAACAAACAAACCAGAAATATTTGGCAGTGGTAACCCAGGAATCTGGGTGGGGAAGTGCAGTCTGGCTCTAGGGATAGAGCTTTTCACCATCCACCACTGCTCTGCTTCCCAGGGCTCACTGTAATTCCACATCTTTTTACAAGAGCATGGAGTGACAGGACAGGAGGAATGGCTTCAAACTGACACAGGGGAGGTTTAGATTGGATACTGGGAAATAGTTCTTCCCTGTGAGGGTGGGGAGGCCCTGGCACAGGTTGCCCAGAGAAGCTGTGGCTGCCCCATTTCTGGAAGTGTCCAAGGCCATTCCATGATTCCATGGTCTCTAATGGTCTCTAATGACAATTTAGAGTAGTCCCTCTGACCTGGAACCAGACTGTGGGGTTTTTGCTCTCTGTGAGCAAGGCCATGTTTTCCTATGGAGCCTCACAGGGCGGTTTTGCATCCCATGGAAGGAATGACCTCGGATAGATGGGATAGGGTGAGCTCTGCCCACTCAAAATAATAAAAGAACTAGTTAATTTTTAGGTGTATGTAGCTCTGAAATAAATGCTTTTGACTCTGCTTCTAAAACTTCCCTCTGGGTTACTCTCTTTTTTTTGAAAAGTATACAGCACCACTGTTTGCTTTCTAAATTGATAATTAAATCTCCCATGCACTTTCATGACTATATGCTGAACCTTAACATCTCTATTGCTAAATTCAGATTATTACTTTCATCTTATTATGATTCAATAGCTCCTGAAATTATTATCAGTTAATAAAAGAAAATACAGTGGAGTCCAGGCAAGGTATCTCATGGAGAGGTTTAGTTTTCTTAGCATGTGAAAAAAGTCAATGTAGATAAATTCAAAGTTAAACCAATGTGTGATTCTTCTAATTCAGAAATGGAACCTCATATACAAGAAGCAAGACATGCATAATACAGTTATTATACCTAATTATTGTTCAGCTGTATGTCTTGCTTAGAGCAAAATTGCCACAAAATGTAGACCAGCTTTCTGCTTAATAAGATTCTTTTCCTTCTTATTAAGTTTAAGAAATATTACTCTAAAAATAATTCTTGTAGAAGTCATAAGAGTAAAATCAGGTTCTTCATTGGTGGGTTACTGTGCATTAGTCATTCATATTTACTGAACTTCTGAAGCTCATTAATTTCTCTAAAAATAAATATTATTTTTTGACATTTCCTGTTTGGTTATAATTTTGCCTGGCTCTAGTTCCTGACAGGAACCCACCAGCTGCACACCTTTGCAGTTTGGTCATGGCAAATTTCTGCTTGTTGTCTCCATTGAAATTCCTGTCAGAACTCCCTCAGATCCAAGGAAAACTGGTGTGGGCTCACAGATAAATCCTGAACAAGGTCTCAAATAGACTCTGAGACTCTTTTGTAGCCCTTGCTCTGTAAGTCCCGTAGCACTCAGAGCTTTTGCTCATCTTCTGGCACAGTGTGGGCAGAGTGGAAGTTCACAGATGATCATGGTTCTTTCTTTCTTGGCCTGGATTTTGGCTTCAAATTTTGAGCATCGTGTGGTTTCATTAGCACTGAATTCTGTTTGTCCTCAGACAGCAAGGACCAGCCCCACTGCTGGGGCTCCTGGAGGCTGCCACAAAACAAATAAAGAGGAGTAATTTTCCAGCATGAGCCCAATAAATCTGTCCTTTTTGCCACTTCTGTGTTTAATCTGGCAAAGAAGGGGATTTGGGGTGCGTACACTGAACAGCTGACTCCTCTGTTGGATCTTGTGGCTGTTGGGAATTGAAGAACAATGTTAGCATTTGTTATTCCTCTCATAAAATAGTGAAAGCAGCAGTATCATGACAAATTTGTTGAAATAACTCACGAATGGGTAGTTCCCCTGGAGGAACAAATACGGCTTAAGGTCACTCCACTCTCCTGTATCTGCAGGTGTTCTAGGACTACAGAAGGTAAAAGTTTATTTCATTTTATACAAATATAAGACAAATCTCCATATTTTCAGTCTCTGTATAATCTCTGCAATGTGATGTCATTATTATACCAGGGTCTGATTTCATTGCTGATCAAATCTTAGTTTAGCAGTTGGTGGACTGATAAAAAGATATTAATGAGTTCTTGGCCATTACTCTTTTTCTGTCAGACAGTCAAATAAAGTGCAGCAGACCAATTTAATCGGAAAATGGGCACTGGAACATCAACTCAGTGTGTGGTGGAGAGATACCATCTCCTGTATTTCGGTAAGTGACTTAACTGTGCTCTTGTGGAAAGTGTTTCATGTCCAGGGGATGTAGAACAGAATGTAATTGCAGTGGGGGATTTTCAAAATTGCTTCACTGGGGATAGTTTGGAGTCACTTAGGTAGTTCTGCAATTTGTAGTGTAGAGTGTATAAAATTACTTTAATAATTAATTCAGTCAGTTGTTTTTATGGATATACTTCTGGGTGTTTTGCACTGAATTCTGGTTGTGTTTGTTTTGCAGTCTCATTATTCTTGGTTTATGGCTTTACAGCCGTCAGTACCCGAGAAAATTGAGCTAGTTATGTCAGCGTTGTCCAGTCTCTCTCTACGCCACTATAGACACAACTAAGAAGGAAAAGGAATAAATTAGCTCAGGCTGCACTGGTATTTCTGTAAGAATTTCACAGGCTGACATAGTTATAGCAAGACAAGCAGCATGTGAAGAGTCAGTTTCTAGAGTTACTTTCTTTTGAAATACAGTGGAGGTGAGACCCTGAAGCTGATTATCTCCAGCATTTTGTTAAACTCATCTGCCAAAACAAACACAAGAAGAAAGTCACAGGATGTCCACGGCTTTCTGAACACTGCAAGCTGATGGGCTGGTTGGGTCCAGTTCTCTTCAAGGGTCTGGTATAAATCCCATTTGCCTTGTTTATATGAAGACAAGCCCTTCTAAGGCAGCATCAAGGTTATATTTGGGCTATAGCCCTTTATGGGCTGTGCTCTGAGGCCAAAAGGAGCAGGTTATGTTTGCAGCTGTGGAGCTCAGAACACTCCAGAGGGCTCAGTGGAGCCTGGCTAATGGGGATTTGTTTAATTAACACATCAGCAGTTTACAAGTGGTGTCTGCAGTGGGCTACCCTGCCATCCTGAGACTTTCCCATCACTGAGCAAAGAGAAATCCCCTCTGGCTCCTGCACAGTTGTCCCTCTGTCCATCCTGGGGCCAGAGCAGGGGTTGGCTGCTCAGTGTCCTTCGCTGACCCTCACTGAGGTGGGACGGACAGTGTTGTCCCTGCTGGGAGCTCGGTGGAACAGGACTGCTCTGCTTCCAGGGATCAGCCAAGCTCATCTGTACTGAGACACTGCCACCATGCCCAGAGATGGGTTTGTAGATCAAATTTCAGTGGTGGAATTGTACAGCTGACAAATGCTTGTCGTTACGGGTTTGTGGTCTGTTAGAAGGAGGCTGAGTACACACTGATTTTATTTTTAATTACAGGAATTACAGTTGGTCTTTTCCTCTCTAGCTGGAAGTAATACCACTTAGTCAGGGACCTGGAGACACATCCAATTAGCTCTTCCCTGAAAGCCATCACATAATGACTTGTTAAAACTTCCCTAACAAACTTCCCTCTCTGATGCTATATTGTGGGCAGGAATAATCATTTGCTGTAGTCAGAGTATGTCTTCATTCTGAGTACATGGATAAATTTTCTAATTCCTGGGAAAAGCTTCTGGATCCTGCTGTGAGCAACAGCTATTCTTTAAGAGCTGATGCAATGGTTTTATCTGCACACAGAGCTGCAGCCCTAGTGCACTATGTGGGGCCGGGCCTGTCCGGTCCTCTCTGGAAGAGCAGAATTCCTTCCTTGTTCATCCCACAGCCCATTTCCACCTGTTCGTCCCACAGCCCATTCCTACCTGCTCTGTTGCCCTCAGGCTTTGAGACTCACCCTCCAGTGATACTGCAGGCTTGCAGCATTCCACCATGAATGCTCATTCTTGCTACTTTGGGCAGGAAAAACTTTCCAGTTATCTTCCATGCTGTCTGGAGTTCCAGCTCCTGGTGATATCCCAGAGGAAGCTCTGTTGTATTCCCTGTGAGTGTTCCTATGGCAGATTTCTTGCCAGTCTCCTCTAGCATGTCTTAGTGTGCTGCCATGGGCACACTGCATTGCATTTTCAACCAATTCCTAATACCTCTGAAAATACCCTCCAGGAAATAACTCTTATTTCAAGAGAGCCATCACATCAGTCCCAGAGATACCTGCACCCCTCTTGAATATGGAATTGTCTTATTGTTTGCATCATTTACATACTAAAATGAAGACATCAAGACTGAGTGTTTAGTCATGGCACATTTGAAGTTTCCAGCAGGAGTAATTTGTTTGTACCACCACTTCCAGTCCTTTCTCAGTGCAGTGTATGCCTGGAGTTTGGCAGGTATAAATGAAACCTCTCGAATGATGCAGTTACTCCCTGCTGTGACTCAGAACAAGGTTTTCATCAAGTTGAAATTATAATCAGTTATGACAAAGGTGGCAGGATGCCAGAGGATAATCCATTGAGCAAGGAGGAGACATGAAACACCGTGTGGTGTTTGGAGCAGAGCTGAGCAGCTCCATGGCCAAGCAGCTTGTGGTGTCTCTCTGGTCCTGCTGTCCCAGGAGACAGTGAACAAGGCACATTGCCATGGTCCTGAGCAGCCCTCCATGTACTGAGGGCTTCCCATGGGCAGAGCTGTTTGTCCTGGGGCATTCCTTGGATCCTCTCCTGAACTCCTCTGTCTCTGGGTTAGATATGGAATGAACAGTATCCTCATGCCACTCCCAGTCATTGGCTGTAATCACAACAGCTGCTCTGGACAATGTGATTCCCGGGGGCAGGAATTGCTCCAGCTGTGCCATACGACATCCTAAGGCCCAAATTCTGCAAAATGTTACCGTCTAGCTCAGGGCTAAGTGAGGTAAATCACAAAACACTTGGAGAAATGAATGTTGGACCACATTCTCCCCAAGTTCAGAATATCTGGGGTTGATTCTTGTCGTACTGGCCCATAGATTTAGTTTTTATTATACCTGTAGCCCTTTCTGTTAAAGCATAAAACAGAATTAGGTTCACTTTAAATTTGCTTAATCAAATACTTTCCTGACTAAACCTCTTGGAAGATGTAAGGTTCACTCCAGAATGAATTTGGCCCACATGACAATTGGTTTCTGGGATAACAGTTGCTATCTAAAGAGGAAAAGGTAAATTTACCTACAGAAGGAAGGGAAACAAAGGAAATATTTATCCACAGCAGTGCTGCTATAGAGACCAGGGACATTTCAAGCAGCAATAATAAAAAGAGATGTGTGGTGAATTATCTCTGCTTGGTTCTGTCATTGTTGGGCTCGTTACCATCACTACCTGCTGCACTGGGTCTGAACAACAGCTCCACCACTATTTCTTCAGAGATTTATACTTACAAAAAACTCTAAATTTGTGGAACTGGATGATTTCATTTTACTTTGAAAATGAGGTTCCAGCCTTTAGAAAATAGCTTTCTTTCCCAGACTCCAAATTAAAAGAATAATTTATCACGGCAAAGTACAAAAATGGGCTTAAGGAGACTGAAAGTAACTTTTATTTTTCTCTGCATAAAAAGGTACCTCAGAAGTTGAAAGTAAAACATGCAAATGAAGGGGCTGATTGAGGCCCCACTGCAGATTATGCACATTTTGGGCAATCTTTGTTCATTTAGTGATGTAGAAGGTAAACTGAAAATAAAACAAATACAGTTCAGATTTTTAAGTAGGTTTCCAGAAATCTTTCAATGGTTTCTGTTTTATCCTATTTAGAGCTTGTCTACACCTCTGGGTCCAGAGCAGCAAACCTCCAGTGTCCTGCATTGCACACTCAGCCTTGGTGCTGCAGGGTGAGACACTTCATGTGTCAGATTTGATGTGCTGGTTCACATCTCAGGTACCTGAGATGGAAACAGAGAGTGGCCATTTCTGGTGCCCCTTGTCCAGCACAGCTCCCAGGGGTACAGGTAAGTGCCAGGAAAAGCCCTGCTTTCGGATATTTTGCTGAACTGTTATCACGTGTCAGAAGCAAACTTTTCCTCTTTTTTCTTTTCTTTCTGCTTGAGATCACTTGTATAAAACTGAAAGACTCAGATGAGTGTGTCACTAAGTCCTTTATGTATGGGAAATGGATGTGTCCAGGACTATTACTGTAATAAGCTTCTCCCTACTCTTAGTAGTTACTAAGGTTATGTGTAATTGGGGAGCTATTAGCTTGAGAAATGATCTGGAAAGCATTAATAATGAATATAAAACTGGAATATTGAAAGGCATCAAGTGTTCCCCAGGGAAGAGAATATGCTCAACATTTTAATTCTGTGATCCTGGAGGCAGTGGGGTATTTCCACGTTGGGAATCAGGGGGGAGTGTTACCCACTGGGGTGGTTTGCATGTCTGAAACTGAGAAAAATGTTCTGAAACATTTTATAGGCACCTGTGAGTAATTAATTGGGCTACTACTGTCATCATTTCAGTTGAATTATTTAGTCTGGGTTCAAAAGCCGTGGTCTGTTCTCAGGAGTGACACTTGGTGATGTGAAGAACAGTCCTGTACAGCTCTCCCTGAGCCTTCCTCTTCCTCACTGCTGAGGGCGGGGCATCTCCCTCAGGCCATCATGCTCTTTTTTGCTCCTCACATTGGTTTTTACAACTTTTCCTGAGGTGTGTGTGTGCTACTGTACTTGCTCTAATAACAATGAGCAAATCAATACTAAATCAGGTGCCGTATTTTTTGGCCAGGAACAAAATTAAGAATAGTTTATCAGTCACTTTGAAAGCCAGATCTGGAGAATAGAACAATAGTAGCTCAAGTCAGCTTTCCTCTTAACATTAGGGTAATTACTTGAATGTAATTTTGTATATAATGTAAGTGGTAGATACCTCAGAACATTCCAGTGTGTGCCTGTCTGCCTCTTTCAGGGCCTAAGTACCTTAAAATTACTGACTATATGGAAACACAATTTATACTTCTACATTAATTAGCTATGTTAGAAATCTTTAGCCTGTGAGTGACTGGCAGATTTACATTGGGAATATTAGTGGCTGTGGGTTACTGAAAATACAGGATGTTCTTCAGTTCTGGGATCTTCACTGATGTGTGAGGTCATAGCAGTGTTGGACAACCCAGGTAAAAAATAACCTGCTCTTTATATGCATGGGTAGTGTGCATTTATCTGGCTGTATCACTTGTAGCATGAGTTAAAAAATGTGCCTAAAAAAAGATTATTACCCAGTGTAATCTGAAGGAATACCAGTGTAAATCATCGTAGTTCCTTGAGCTCAGTGAAAGGTCCCTGATAGGCACCTGTCTTGCTCTGGAATAATAAATAGACTCACAATATTTTAACATAGTCATATTTCCTGTCACCTCAGTCGTCGGAATGGGGTTTCCATCCAGAAGGAGTTTTCCTTTCCCTCCTGTTTACTGCCCATCAGGCTCCACTCCTGGGCTCTCAGGGGTTTCTGCTTGTGGCTGCTGCTCAGTGCCAAGCTCATCTGGGTTGCTGAGCTCAGGTTGCTCATCAGCTCCTCCCTGTTGATGATTCTCTGTTTTAATACTTAATTCTGCTTTCTATAAATGTTTCTTGTCTTTTGAGCTGTGCCAGAGGGAGCCAAGTTAAATGTAGGGTAATTTCTTCCTCCCATAAATGGGCACACATGGAAAATTTTGGATGCTTTATTATCCAGTTGTAGCTTGTGCTTTCTTTGGTTTACTCTGGGTTCTTGGCATGTTTTACAGCAGTGTCTGGAAAATCAATTTTTCTTTTCCCAGCTACATGTGTTCTTAAACAAAATCCTTTCATCCTGACCAGCATCTTCAGTTCTCCTTCCCTAGTGTTGTAGAGAAACCTACTTCAGCCCCACATATTTGCTCTTTAATTTCAATGTTGCTTTTAGTCATCACACTTAGTTTAAGAATGCTGTCAAAAAACTGATTATACAAAAGGACTGCATGTGTGTTCAGAGTTTTTCCAAAAGGGGTTGTTGTATTTTAATTGTGCTTTCTAAACTACAGAACTTCACTGGTTTCTTTCTTCTATCCTCCTTGTTTATTTTATATCTTCTTGTTTAAGGAAGTTAAAAAATGGGTTAGTGATGAGAGTCAAAGTTTAAATGCTTCTCATGGGGGGGATTTATGGGGAAAAAAAGACTAAAACTGTTGTATTTCTGGTTCCATGGGATGCCAGCCATGTCACAGGGATCCAGATGTGCAGTTCTTGGTCCCCATGGCCCATGGATGTTGTCCTGTGTCTGTGAGAGGATCCAGGGATGTCCAGCTGTCTTCTACTTCAGCAGTGGATGTTAAAACATGGATTGTCTGGGAGAATGGAGGGCTGTGTCTAGATTGGTTATTATTGGCACAGTCCTGGATTCCTTTAAAGTTCACACTCCCATTGGTCTCCTCGGAGCTTGTGGGCTCAGAAAGAGAAAAGGCAGCTCAGGGTCAGGGAGTGTGGTGTTTGCCTGCCTTGCACAGATTGATGGCCCTCTCTGGGCCCAGAGCAGCAGTGAGTAATGCCCCTCATCTCAGGCTGCTGAAACGCTCCTGCTGGAGCTTTATCCATCCATCCATCTCAATAAAGAGCCGTGCAGGGCAGAGCCTGTGTTCTGCTGTCCAGCACCAGCTGGAGCCATGCCACGTTCCCCCTGCACAGCCCACAAACACGGCTCAGCCCCGAGCTGCTGCAGGGGGAGCAGGTCTGGAGGAGCTCAGGAATGTGGACAGCAGCACCAGCTTTATCCTGTGCTTCTCATCACTCCTCTGCCTCAGGGAAGAGCACTGAGCTCCATCCCGGCAGTGAGGACCTCTGGGAGAGGCTGGTGACAGCCAGAGGAGCCCTACACAAGGCTGTGGCAGGAGGGGTGAGCTCAGCAGGGCAGGAGAGAGCAGGTTCTCCTTTCCTGCAGCAGGACGTGGTATCTCGAGCTCATTAATGACTCTGAATGCTCATTAATGTAGGTGGGACAGTTCTGTCCCCACTGATGGGTGGATGATGTCATCTGAGGGTCAGTTAATCAGTCCCTGTGTAGGCAGAGCATATGCTTGACTATATCTGGTGGAACAGAATTTAATTACTGGATTAAGAGATTTTTTTAACACTGAAATTATCATCAGCCTTCTCATTTGAAATAAAGGGTCTGTTGAATTAATTTCTTGTTTACAGTATTTGTCTTGTAAATGAAGTTTTGTTCTTTATGCTGATGAGCTGATACACCATCAAGCCTCGAAGAAGGGGGATAATGAAAGGTGCTGTCAAATGATAGTGTCAGTGGTTAAGGTTAAGCAGAGCTTCTGCCGAGGTGCAGAGGTTCTCTGCTTTTCTGGGAATACTGAAAAATGCTTGTGTTCTGTAACAACGTTTTGGTAACTCTACAGCACTGTTGCCATTTATAGAGGGATGGAAAACAAAAGCAAATCATTTTAACGTGTTTAACACCTCACACGTACATTACCTTCCCCAAAGGAAGCAGACTCCCAATGCCTGGTGAGAAGGGGCACCAGCAGTGCTGGGAGTTGCTGACAAGAAACAGAACTGGGTATTCAAGTCCTTGCAGGAGAGCACTAGGAAAAGCTTGGGATAAAAATGGTCCTCACCTGAAGGAAAAGGGTGAAGATAACACACCCCAATGCAAAGCAGATTCAGCCGATTTAAAAGCAGGAATTTGAAAACATATTTTTGTAATAGGAGTCTCTTAGATTTTTCTTTAGACCTCTAAGACAACCTTAAAAAACAAATCCTGGAGGAGGGCAGGATACTGGCAAATGAACTCCCTGCAGTGCTATGGGATGTCTCAATAATCCTCAGATTATTTTGGGGGATAGTTAAATATGTTCCTGTTAGAAAGGACTTAAAGTTGTTTTACTCATCAGAAGAATATGTTGATTTCCCTTTAAAAATCGGCACTTTATTTCTGCACCTATTGGTAACACCTGTGGCCATGCAGGAGTATTTAACCCGGAGTTCCTGAGCAGCTGAGAGCAATATCTTGTGTGTGGGGGATACGTGTTCTTACTGTCTCCCAGTTTTCACTCTTAGTTCCCTGCTGCTTTTCTTTCCCAAAAAAATCACGGTGGTACTTTCTTCCACACCGTGTGTTGATCTCACTTAGCTGATTTTGTTTGCTTGATTAGGGTTTTTTGTTTGTTTTCTTTTTAACTCCAGTAACACTTAAAATTCAGGTCAAACCTTGGTGCTCTGAAGTGCCTGGGATGGAGCACATTCAGCCACCAATTTTTAGTGCTTTGTATAAGAAGAGACCGAACAGACCAGACTTAAACGTAAACTGCCTGTTGGTGCAGAGTTGAGCCTGTAAGATTAACTGAGAAGGACATCAGAGTGCAGGTAAGGTGGTTTAAAATTCAAGTCTGAACTGCTGGTTTTTCTTGTGCTGCCAAACTCTCTCCTTCTGCATAACCTTGGTCCCAGAGATGTGAGGACAGAGGAAGACTTTGCAGGTTTGTTGCTGATATAAAGGAAGGATTTAACTGGTACAGTAGTATGTGTGGAGTGTCTGTAATGTGTGTGAGTGCAGGGCTTCACTGCAGGAAAATGGGTACTTCGAGGTCGGTAGTTTTCTTACCAACCTCTGCTGTGGAACAGGTAAAACAGCAATTGTGCTGCAGCTGGAAACTGGTTCCAGTGGAGTTAATGTTCTTATTGACTTCAGTGGAGTCAGAAACTCTCTGTGAATCCCTCTGGTCCAGAAGCCAGACAGGGAGGCCAAAGCCCTTGCTGATGATAACAGAGCTTTTAACTCCCTTTGTCTGTGCAGACCTTAGTCCTGCAGATAAGTGCTGTCAATGAGGGTGGTATTAGTACATAATACAATTTATCACTGCTTGTCTCTCT